TCCTGCACCTGTCCCCAATCCACCCCCATGGATACATGTCTAGGTCATATCAACTGGCATTGAGAGTGTGAATTCTAAAGCTCAGTGCCTGCATTCAAATTTCAATTCTGTCACATACGAGTTGCCTTGAGTGAGTCAGTTAACCTCTCTAGCTTCAGTGGAGATGGTAATAATAGCATTCCTGCCTCATGGTTCTGTCATGAGAATTATACAAGTTAATGAACACGAAGCCCCCAGCAGCGCCTGTCACACAATAAGCATCATATAATAAGCACCAGCTATTATACTTAGGAAGACAGATGACAGTTAAGTAAAAAATTGAAAATGCTATAAGGCCTTAGGGCACATGCAGCACTAACTTGGAACCACTAAGTTGAGAGAAAACAAAAACTAGGTGTTCTTCCCATCTCTACATTGACCAGAAGCAGCACGGCACTTTGAAGTGGTGGCATCTAGTGGGACTGGAAACAGAAGTCTCCCGGGCTTGACAGGGACAGTGGTGCTCAGAGAGATGGAATCTCAGCAGAGACAGCAGCAGTGACCATCGGGAGCCGTGGCCATCACCGTGTGGGCTTTGTGGTACCCAGAGGTGAGGTCACAAGACATCCAAGATGGCCAGTGAGTGCAGAGCAATGTGAGTGACAGCAGGAGCCTGGTTGAAGTGAAGCCACCCAGGGGACAAGGCAACTGTGTCAGCAAAGGCAGTGATGGCCACATAGGAAGGGTCAGAACTCAGCAGACACCACAAGGTAAGACTCTGGACTTACCCACATGCCCATGGGAAATATTCCTTGGGTCCACCAGAAATACTTGAGAGGTGGGGTTTTGCCAGGACACAGAGGTCCTCTACGGGTCTGATGTGCTCAATTCCTCAAATTATCATTGGTGTGACTTTATGTTTACAGAAAGGGAATACTGAGACATCATTAAAAGCACAAGCTTTGGTTTCAGACAGGTTTGTACTTCCACTAAAAGTACTTACTAGGCATCTATCCTCTGCCTCAAGCTCTGCTCTAGTCAGTGGAAATACCACAGTGAACAAGGCAAATATGATTCCTCCTCCCATAGAGCTACCTTAGAAAGGGGGCACAGACAAGAAACAAGAAAACAAATCAATGGGGTCTTGTCTGTTTAGGAGCTGTGAAGGCAATAATGTAGATGATATGGTATCCAGATGGGGTAGAGAGAGCTACTTACAATGGCAGCCAAGTTAAAGTCTCTCATTCACAGTGAGGGTTAATAGCCACGGAAGATCTGGGAACAGAATGTGGGACCCTCAGGTAGGAAGATTTGGCATATTAGAGGAACAAAGGAAGGACAGTAAGTCCAAACAAATAACGGTCAGCGAACTATGGTGTGAGGGCCAAATCTGGCCTGCTACCTGTTCATTAAATAAAGTTTTATTAGAACACAGCCACCCTCATCCGTTCGTCTGTAGCAGCTTTCAAGCTATAATAGCAGAGTTGAGCAGGTAGATGCCACAGGGACTTTATGGCCTGAAAAACCTGTGAGAATTCTATCTGGCCCTTTACAGAAAGCGGGCCGACCTCTGGTCTAAAGGCTGGTGAACAAGCTGGGTGAAAGCAGCAGGAACTGAGCTGAAGGGGTGCTGGCAGGCAGCAAACAACAGACACTACAAACTTGGATTCTATCCCCCAGGTGATAGAAAGCCCTGGAAGGGTCCCGGCAAGGGAAACGCATGATCTGCTTCATGTTCTTCATTTTGGGAGCCTTGTGGAGAGCACTGCGGGGGCCAAGTGGCAGCAGGGACAGCGATTAGACAGATGCCGCTGAGTCCTGTGAGAGAGGAAGGTGCCTTCCATAAGGTTGCTAGCGGCGCAGATGGGGACAAGGAGTCAAGACGGAATGTCTCAGGTATAACTGGCTTGAGACTCCCCACTCGGCTGGGTCATGGCAGGCAAGTGACTATGTCGCTCCCAGCCTCAGTTTCTTGCCAGTAAAATCCTCACACCGGTATTGTGTGGATTAAATTACAAAGGCGCCTGAGGTATCTGTCAGAAAGTCAGTGTTCAAGAGATGTTGGCGTTACTATTCTGCTGTCGAGGCGCTGATATTGACTGCTGAGGCCCACAAGAACGAGGTCCCAGCATGGACCTCACTGGGCTGCTTCTCTCCTAGCGGGACACCTCTGTCCCTGATGAGGCTCGTCGGTCCCCCAGAGACAAGGATGCTCTTACTCATCTTTAAAGCCCCCAAATGGTGCCTGGCACTCGGTGAATGGTTAATAAATGTTTGTTGATTTAACTATCAAGTTTTTGGTTTTGGTTTTGTTTTTTTCCCAAAAAAAGGAAAGAATTATTCATTCTGCCATTTTCACCAGAAGTGTTTTGCTTTTAGGCTTGATATGGTGTATTTTGATGACCCAGAGCGCTCTGAAGATAGAGAAGTACTTGTCTCTAAGGAGAGCTAGTCCCCAGCATCCCCTCTGGTGCCACAGGGAACTCAGAAACTGCCCCCAAGGACCTCCAAGCTGACAAGATACATATATCATGATCATAATTATATATTAAATCTGGACTAAGAAGTCACCACGCACAAGAAAGTCAGTCATATCAGACAGATCTACATATCAAAAATCTCTGCCACAAAGCAGACCCAATAAGAGTCAAAAACCATTGTTCTAAGTGTCAAGTTACTTTCAGACTTCTACTTCAAACTAGTTGGACATCCTGAAGCCTTGACCAGACATATCAAAGGAGCTCCTTTCTTACATTATTACCTTGTTTCTTTTATGGATTCTTTATTCTGGCTATAAAACTAAAAGGATCTCTCCCAAAATTGAAATTTCTGAATTTTGGGTCAACTTTCTTGTTCTTTGACACACCATTTACCAAGAAAGACTGGAAATCTATCCTTCACAGAGGAGTTAAGTTTTGTCATCATAAAATGACCAGTGCTGTCTGAACAATTGCTTGAAATGAAATTAAGTATGACATGCAACATTGACATACAAACACATTTGATATCCATAAAGTAGATACATACTTTGTGACATTTTTACTTTTATAAAAAGGGGGTCAAATACCACAATGGTTGCACAATACATAATTACGAAACCCTGAAAGGGCCAAATAAACTGTTAATAGACATATCACCTGTGTATTCATAGTAGCTATATGTATCCTTACTACATACTTATTGCTCTAAAAAATGAATTAGAATTTCTTAAAAATCAAAATAAGATGGAGAGAATGTCTCAGTAGTGGTCACCAAATCTGGAAGTACTCTATGTAAACTTACTAATTTAGCCAACAAACTCGAAAGCATAGGAAATTGAAAATAAGAAAAATATTTAAAATAACAGTATTAAAATGAGAATCCCTTACAATAGTAAAGGAAAAGGTGGAAATCCTTGAAACATCAGTGAGCAGCCATGAGGAGGGAGTTGTTGTTTTTTTTAACACGAAGCCTGGCATCTCACAAATAACGTATGTTCCATATTATGTGGCAGTTGCTATAGTAACAACCTTTATTTTCTGAAACAGTACACAGATGTGTACAACATACTAACTTGCTGGTTATAAATTACGGATTTTCCCATAGTTCAATAACTTAAGAATTCTACGTTTCTGAAATCTCAAAAGTTCTTTTGTTATTAAATTTCTTTTATGAGATAATTTTCCTTGTACTTTCAAAATGAGAGTGTTCCCAAACAGGCCGAGAGAAAGAAGGGATGAGAAAATGGGGTATATCAGAGAGTACCAGCAGACTGAGGTCTGTTTTCTACAGAGTCTGAATGAAACCCACTGAAATGAGGACATTATTTTAATGAATTAGGCGTCATATACAATAGTGAAGAGAAATCAGTTGCTAGCAAAATGATGTTACAAATAAAGTTATGAATTGATTTTTTATTACAAGGTGTCATATTTACAGTTTTAAAATAAATGAAGATTATTTCTTAGAAAAGTTACGAACAATATAATTTTATAAGAGACAACAGTGTGGGGGAATGAATTAGGCTGGTTACTTGACTTCAAGTGAAGTTTTTTTGAATCTTAAGAAGGCCTGAGTCCGGGAAAAATGTCCATTCCTCTATTTAATAAGAGATTAGTATCTCTTTGTCAGGTGACAAAACAGAAAACAGAGTTTTACTGATTGGGATATTTTTCTTTTTATATTTTAACCTTAATTAACAAATATTTATCCAGTTCATTCTATGTGCAGGGAGCTGTCTGTGCCTAGATGTGTACAGATATGTGTAGAAACATAAATTATAGAAAAACTGAGTTCTGGAGATGTTTTTTCCCTATTCTGAAAATTTACATATGTTTTCCATTTGCTGGATCTGAATACTCTCTTTAATAGACAGTTCAAACTGTAGATTTTTAAACCTTGTCAAAGAGTCATCTCTGCAGCATTTTTCAGGCTCAAGTTTACCACCTGGGAAACACATTTGAAAATAAGGTTATATATTTAGCATTTACAGTTAAAAGTCAACTTTCTAAAATTGTGTGTCTGTGTGTATATACACATTTATATATATACATATATATATTTCATATACATATACATTTGTACACATATATACATATATATATTATATATATATATATATATATATATATTTCTAGATATAAGGAAGGGTACAAGTATCCTCCCGTAGAAAGTAACAAAGTAACAAACACCCCTGACTCAGAAAGTCCAGCAGTTACAATGCTGATAGATTTACCTAACAAACACAAAACACTTGGAAATGCTATTTCAAGTGACAATACAGTTAGATTCAAATTCAAAATTGTCTTATAGGAGCAATGACAGGATGCGAAACAATTGAATACCATGCAGACAAGAACAAATCATTTTGAAAAGCTTGCACCATTAAGTGGTTGTTAAAATTTTGCTAACGCTTTCCACACACATACTCCTTTCTGTATCATTCTGAGATATATTAAAAACAGGACCATGACTAATCCATTCAAATCCTTATAATATCAGAGAGAGAGAGAGAGAGAAATTTAAGTTATCACCTGATGGGGGCTTAGAGGCTAGAACTCGGAACCCAACCGAAAAAGAGTACTTCACTGTTAGATGCATTTTATAAGTATTACTTAAATTACATTTAAGTCATCAGATAATTATGAACTTTCTTCTCTTTTATATTTATATGGCATATTTATTGAATTGCACAGTATGCTTTTACAATAAAGTGCTTTTTACGTTGCCGCCTTTGTTCATCCAAAATAAAACTGACAGTTATCCTTTTATAAGCTATTCCGAGAACATTTTCTCTTCTTTGAAGCTGATTGATGCACTACTTTAAATGTTCCTGCAAATATCTTTTCAATTCAAGTTTTTGCATAATGTAATAAGAAGATAAAAGAATCCTATACTTCAACGAGAGACATTACAAAGCAAGTAGAGACATTATCAAGGGCATTAACATGCTCCTAATAGCAATAAAACCTTTTAACTGTCTGATGTAGAACATGCTCCCACCAAACCACCACATATTATGGTAATTGGCTCCAATTTCTGAATCTTACATTGTAAAGTTACAAAGAGTTAGGTAGAACTGAAAAACAAATCCAGAATGCTCATCTTGTTAGCGTTCCTGCTATAAGATGTTTGCCTGCTACCTTGAACGAGGACTGGTTTGGTCTGTGGAGCTGTGCTTTCCTGTGCTATCATATTTTCGCATCCTGTCTCATTTTTATTCCTCTTGACTCTGATATAAATACACATTTTTTTTCCCAAATAACCCTCTTCTAACTCCAAAACATCACAGTAACAAAAATAGCATTTTTCTCAGAATTTCAGTGTAACAAATGGGTTCTCTGTTCATGCCTGTGTCACATCTCATTCACTTTATATGTTCTCTCATCACAGGAAGATGTAATCGGGGAAAATTTTCCATGAGGGCACTTTGATTTTTCTTTACAACACACTACCAGATTACATGAGTAGCCTTTCCACTGTGGTTGAGAGGAAATATAATTTCCAACTAAAGTTGAGCCCAGATTCTGTTAAATTAAATAGCAGAGAGGGGGAAAAAATAGTTCTTGGCTTTATTCCTCTTAGATGGGAAGCAGGGCAGTGGGGAATTGACACGAGTCGGTCCTTGGTGATTAACCTGCAGTTTATGGTTATGTTTCCAGGTGACGCGCCCATCGCGCAGGAAGCTTCTCGCAGGCTGTGGAGAGCAGCCTGTCTGCTTTGAGAAGTGCAGATCTATCAGGATCCAGAGTCGGGCTCTGAAAAAGCTGTCATTTCACGTCTCTAAAACAGCCTCTGATTTAATGTACAAGATGTCAAGAAGTAAAGGACAATAAAATAAAAGCCAAAAAGGAGAACTATTTCAATTAAGAGGCATTTCTGTACCAATTCTTGGAAATCTAGTAAAATAAAAATTGTCAGAATCAATCTGTGTTTAAAAAGTTGATTTTTGTGGTGCTTACAGAGAAACTGCAAGACAGAAAAAAAAAATACAAATTATTAACAGAGCAATTGAAGCTTAAAAAATTCCTTTCTCACTAGGTAGATATTTGGTTGTTAAATTTTCCTAAGGGACCTAGGGAAAGCGTTTGCATAGAAGGTGCTGGGAGCTGGGAGAGAGGAATAAATAAAATAGAAAGAAATAAATCCTCATACAGAAAAAAACTAACAAATGTAAGCTGCAGTCCTATAAGGACTTTCATGCATTTCCAAGAATTTAATATTTTGATTGTCAATAATTAGAAGATGCATGTAAGACTGTGGGAATTTACCTTTTATTGTCATGATTTTCTCAATGTGTTTGAATGTCCCTTTCAGAGAAAGATAAACATTTCTTCGAGGACTGCCCTGTCACCCCAGTAATCGAATACCTTAAAGGTGAATTGAGGAAAAAAAAATCTTGATGAAATTTGGGGTAACATTTTAGCTAAGAGTATAATAATAATAAAGATATAAGTATCACCAAAAATAAATAAATAAAATTCTACCAAATGTGACTTCCTATAGAAGACACAACTTTTTAATTTTCATTTCTTTTAAAAACATGATATTTAAGAAACATGAATTATAACTCCATCCTCCTCTTGTCCTTAGAATTTTTATGATGTTATGCTTTTTATTCCACATTTTCTGTTGAGAGGGAGATATGGCAGGGAAAGAAGGGGTGAATTCACTTGCTGTCCCCAACTGCTTTATACATTTCAGGGATATGCCCCTTTCTATGGTCTATTTCTGGGTCCTTTATTTAAGAAAAAAAAAAAATCAAGTTTCTCTGAAGGGAATACTTTACAGGAGAAAATTCACTCCCTTCTCATCAAATCAAGAACTTTTCTTAAAGTAACTCTACCACAAGCAAGAAGGGGAGCAGCCTCAGAACTGCCTCCAATCACAAGAAAAAAATAACAAAATCAGCTCACTCATGATTTCCTTAATATACTCAAAAAGAGATACAATCCCACTGATGCCTCTAAAAATAAGAATGAGGAAAGGGCAACTTTATTGATTCCCTGCAAACCAACGAACGTGTAACTTATTGATAATACTAAATACCGTCTAAGCCTTTAGTGATTTCCAACCAAAAGTCTGCCTCTGAATGAAGGTTTAAATCATCGTATTAATATATTAGGGGGGAAATTATCATGGGAGACACTTGGAAATTAATTAAAAACCCTGCACTCAGTTTGTTTGTGAGAGGAGATAAATATCACACATGGGAAATGATGCCTGACAACCGCCATAGTTTTCAGATCCAAAATTAGACCCTGACAGCTATGTCTTTGTATGACTCTCCTTGGGGTATAATATGCAGAGGTATAGAATGAGAAAATTTCTGATAGAAGTATTTATTACTGACACTTCCGAAACATTCCACGTGTGGCATCAGCAAAGCATGTTCCTCCACCTTCAACAGAAATGTCAGGTTTCCTTCCAAGATTTTTTTTTTCTATTCCTCTACCCCCTTCCCCTCCCCCCCCCCCCCATCCACCATCACCCCCCCTTCTTCTCTAAAATATGATTTTTTTTTTTAGAAGTTCAACAGCAGCCCCTGGTGGAACTCAGCAGTTGTTTCAGCCTGAGCACAGTTGTTCAAGAAACTTCATCCCTCTTGTCAATAAAAAGAAAAGTCTGTCCATTTGTCTATCACCACACCTGCACACTGTTCCTACAGGTCAGAGATCAGGATGAAGCCCTGAATGTACAAAAGCTGTGCTTTGTGATGGTAATTTTGGCCAATTTCTGTGGCTGGAGTTTTGACAAAATATATATATATATATGTAGCAAACAATAAACATCTGTCTCAAATGTCACCTTCATTTTATTCATGATGACCAATAATTAACACTTCATGAACAATGCTTACCACAGAGTGTGTGGAAATGAAGTGACCCCTCACGCGTGAGCCAGTGATCACCATTTTGTTTGGCTCATGTTGTGACAGAATCAGCTTTGTCACTAAGCAAAATGAGTTCTACAAAATGACAATCCTATGCAAAGAAGGGATTTCTCTGGGTCATGTTCAGAAAGCACCACAGAATGCCACTATCTAGCCCCATCAGAATGGCAAGCTAGACTTAACAAGCAAACCTACCAAAATGCTTCTCAGTCTCTCTGAGAAGTCTACTCCTTTCCCTGCTTGGTGGGCAGCCACAGATTATCATTTGAGGACAAGGAGGAAATGTGTGGCTCTTTGCATTAGGCATGGATGTCTGCACCTTTCATAAAGGTGCCTGGTAGAGGTGCTCCAATCCAGCTTCCCTTCCTATGGGGCCATCTGCCTAGAGGATAGTCCACACTTGTCTTAGCACAAAGTCATGGTTCTGTTGCTAAACCTTGTGCCTTTGGGGCAGCATCACTGCCGAGGAGTTGCCATTTCCTCATTCACACAAAGGTGCCACATAGGCTAGAGGTAGCCTTGGTCCTAGACAAGGAAAGAGAGAATTACATACTGAAGAAGCTTGCTTTCCTGATCCTTGAGGGTGCCAGGGTTGGGGGACATGGTAGGCATTCACCCTCCATGAGGCTGATGCTAAGACAAAGGAACAACTGGCAATTTACTCAAAATACCCAAAGGTTTACTTGAGTAAATTTATTCACTTGTGTATTTTGACTTTTCTCTTCTTAAATGACGCAGACTATTAAAATGGAAAGCAAACAGAACTTTGAAAGTTCTGAACAGCTTTATGATAAATACTAGAATAGCATTTATATGAAAAGGTTTTTTTTAATTTTGCAAGTATTACACTTTACATTAGCCCTTCCCTTGCCCCTGAGTTCACTTACATCTCTTGACTAATCTCACGGGAAGCCGAATCAGTGAGCTGATGTGTTGAGACCAGAGATAATCCCAAAACAGGCTGCATAGTGAGAAGCTCATGGGCACTGTATTTGACACAGGGGAATAAGAGGTATAAAAAGAAATAACACTGGTCTCCAATGAGTTACATCTAGTGGAGGAACTATATCTATCTGGATAACTTTAACACAGTGTGGTAGCGGCAAGCAGAGTCCTAAAAGACAGAGTGGGGCCCTTAGCTGGCCTTATGTAGGGATAACACTTGCACAACATCTTAAAGAAACTATAAAGGAGCTATAGAAAAGAAAGGTAGAGGGCAAGATAGGAGGAGAATCCCTAGGACCCAAGGATGAGGGTGTAACAGGACGCAGTATATCTGAAGAACTCTGGGCAGTTTGATCCTGCCAGCGCATAAAGGACAAGATGGCACATGTGAGTAGAGGCTGGGGAGGCAGGTCCATCCAGTCATGGAGAGCCCACCTGCCCTCTGAAGGAGATTGGGATTGTCCTTTAGGCCATGGGAACAATGAAAAGACTTCTGTTAAGGAGTGGCACAGAAGGGGATGGCCTGAGACTGCAGGTCAGAAGACTAGTGAAAGTTTTTGTGATTGTCCAAGAGAAAGAGGATAAAGGCCTGCATCCTAGGGGTGGTAGTGCAGTTGGAGAAGAAATGGCAGGTTTCAGAAATATTCAGAGATGAAAACCGAGAGCAGTTCGTGCCTTAGTGGATAGGGGCACTGGGGGGCGGTCTTGGATAATCCCTAGGGTTTAGGTATAGGGGACAACATGGATTGTGATGCTGACTTAGAGACCACAGGGGCCAGAATATGGCTTAAGGGAGAAGATGACACTCTAAAGTAGTATTTCTCAAAATATGTCCTCGAGTGCCCTCCTCTGGCCTCTGGACAGCTGCTTATAGTATTGGTTATTGACACCACCCACAAATGTCATGGCGGGAGAGGACCTCATAGGTGAAGTTCAGTGTCTTTCAAACTGTGTGCTATGGGGGTCAGATAGGTGGCACAGCAGTCAGAGCTACAGTCTGCCTTCCTTGAGTCAACCCAAGAGGGTCCACTTTTCCTATTGTGTACATTAGAATACTTCAAAAAATTTAGTTTGAAAAAGGAAAACCACAGTTTGAAAACCACTTCCTTTTACAGAGAGGAAACTGAGGCTCATAGAAGTTGAACTATCTTGCCCACAGACACAAGTCTGTAGCAAAGGCTGAACTAGATCTATGGCACCTAGTTCACCGGCCTCAATCCCTCTGCGCTATGGCTTCCTGCAAGAAGTAATTGTTTACTTGTGCCATGTTTTATAAAGTTGCCAGGAACCTCCTCAACTCCGCCATGCTCTTAGCAATTTCCTCCGCTTTAGTCTTTCAGTAAATGTTTATTGAGCATCTTCTGCATGCCAAGACTTCTTCTACTGAGAATACCTGGGCATTTCTGTTTGGATTCCTGGTTCTGGTTTGTGATTCTCTGGTAGAGCTCTGCAGTCCCACTAGTATTCCACCGTGACTGGATACAGTATGACCCAAGAAGCAGACAGGTATACTGGGAATTAATTCAGCCCCAAGTAAACAGTATTATGGGTTTCCTAATTCATTGGAGGATATAGCTAACTTGTGTTTTTTAATCAAATTTTTGAAAATATATTTTTTAAAAAATCCATGAAGCTCTTAACATACAATAAGGTGCTATTCATAATTTTTAAAGGAATGACTTTTCAGATGTTACATACATGTTACTGTATTCCATACACAGTCTAGGGCTCACTGGAAAAAAACACCTCACAACTCAATAAGCTTAACTTTATGAAACTTAGACCTGGTATCTGAAGTAATTGCAGGATAGCTTGCTTTCCAAAAGTGAGAATTCAGACCAATAAACTTGATAACCCTTCTTCTCCATCATATAACTCAATAGCTGTTTGTCCCAATAGGGTAATTCCTAAAAGAAGGAAAAGCAAATCCCTACCTAGAGAAATAAATAGAGAGACAAATGTAAGCTGAGGGGCTATGACAGCCTGTTGATCTCTCTCTCTCTCAAAGACCAATCCATCTTGAGAATCTGGTCCCAAGACTTCTAGAAGGGAACAGTGTGCTGCCACCCTGTCAGGTATATGAATCAAGGTGGGGAACAGGAGGCAGCTAGGGGAAGCCCTCCGGCGTGGGGACTGCCAGAGCTGGGATCCGCACAGGTCTTTCCAAGAACATTATATAACATCTTAACTATGGAGAGAAATCCATTGTTCTGTCTCTCCTGTTGGGGAATCCATTCTTCATCTTATTAAATTCCTAAAAATAAGGTATGAGAGAATCAGTCTTCAACTGCCCCATTATATATCACCACCCCACCCTAATCAATCTCTCATTTTCTTTCTGTGTTCTTTCCATTTGCAAGTAAGTCTTAAAATCAGAAACTCTGTGTATACCAACATATAAACAACACAATTCATTCAAAAAGGGCATTAAGAGTACACTTAACTTGGAACGCCTGGGTGGCTCAGTTGGTTAAGCATCTGTCTTCGGCTCAGTTCATGATCCCAGGGTTCTGAGATTGAGTCCTACATTGG